TTAATATAAGGCCTAATTAACGAACTAATTTCTCAAGAAGTCACAGAATTTACCCTTATAAAAGCTTATAGAATAAGGTTCTAGACTATAAAAGGACTCGACTACTTAAAGCAAAATACAAATTCACAATTGAAAAGCATTTAATACCATGAAGTAGACTCAATATGAAGTGGTCTGTAGTTTCTGTTAGAAAAGACACTGTTCGCTGATTGTAGGAGTGACAAGCTCAAGAATAACTCAGACTTTGGATGGAATCCAAAGAAAAAGATTTTACGATGGTAAATTTTCTGGTAGTTAAACTTCGGAAGTCAATATTTTCACGTATAAGTTAAATTATTCCGTCTTGTAGCACATTATTTACATAAGAACTAGTGAAATTACATGGTTACCCAAACGGAAGTAAAAAGACCAGTGTTTTACCCTGAAACTCATCAGCTAAGAAATCAAGTATTTTAACCACTAAGCCAAAACCTAATTGAAATACATTTTGCAGTGTCAATCATGAACTGACTGCATCTAAACAACCACTGAAAACTAGTATTTACTGGACAGTTATTTGATTCTAGTATAGAGCCTCTCAGCCGTGTGTATCCACGACCACTTCCAGGATTACACAGAAGACCTTCACATCTAGTAGTGGGGATTCACCCCTCTAATCACTGAGCTGGTATCAGGTGGCGTCTACCTCTAACTTCAGTCAGTTCGCTATATTTCGTGACCATTATCTAACGTGATTGGTAGGTAACTGGCAGACTCATTTAAACTGGCGACAGCATATCACTGTAACCCTGGTCACTGCCTTTCCGAATTGGTAACGAGTGAAAACATGATTACCATCAGTATAAGCAGATGAGGTACTTTTGCAATGTTGAGGAGTGACTGAGTTTCTAAATGTAAACTATTGGATGTCAACTCAATGGTCTGGATATTAGATTTTCATCACCTAATTTAAAGGTCATGGAATTAATCTCAGCCAAGTTTAGAAATCGTTACAACTAGATAGATCAATGACAGTATAAAACACCTGTCTATTCTTCTCTTGTTTTCTGTCATTATCTAGTGACAGTCAGTCTCCAGTTCAACAATCTTCACAAATTTGTAACCATATGGATTATATTCATACTTTCAGAGGGGTTTTGTTGGATATCATAATAATTTAATAGTTGAATTCATGGATGCCGACTCAGTGGTCTAGAGGTTAAACGTTCACCCACGAGACTGATAGGTTCTGGATTCGAATCTTGCGAGGTGGGGTCGTGGATGCGCACTGCTGATGCGTCCCATACTAGGATGAAACAGTCGTCCAATGCATCTAGGTTTTCCATGGTGGTCTAACTTCAGTTGAATCAACTATTAAAATATTTATATTTATTTAATGTTTTATTATTATTATTATTACTATTTTTATCACTATTTTGCATAATAAATTTCCATAGAAGAAAGGAAACAATTCATTTTCTTTGATGAATGAACATTATCCTAACATAGAATAAGGTCAAGGATAATTTCAATGACAATATTAATTAATAACTTAATTAAATAATTAAGGTGAAACCATATAAATACACATTGAATATACCTCAAATAAATGTACAATAATGATATTGTTTGTTAATTAATCATTATTATTATTATTATTATTATTATTATTAATATTATATACTAATAGTATGGTTAGAAATACTTATCCTTATTGATATTCTATTGCATAAATGTACGATTCTAAAAGAATGCTGAGGTGAAAATAAAACAAACAAATAAACAAACAATTGAATTTATTAAAAGATATGGTTGTTATTCCATTCAATGTTACTAGGAGGGGGGGTGGTTGATAAAATTATTTGAAAATGTATTAATAACGATAATAATAATAATAATATAATGAATGAATTAATGAACTTCCAGAATGTATGTGTTAATAATTGCACTTTTGTTTTCTTGGTAAATAACAAATAAAGTGAACATTAACAGAGTTAAGTATAGTGTTTATTGGGTGAACAATATTATTCTCAATTAAATCTTGGATCGGCTTTAATTATACAGTAATAAATGGTTGAAAGCAATGAACAACTTTTTCATCTAATGACACATGAATTAAATTAATAAAATTAATATAATATCCACAAAACCCCTTATTGATTATAATCATCATGTGCTCAATAGTAACTAGCTTCAAGAGGGATTTCCTAAAATTCTAATGAAAAGCCGTGATCAGTGGAGTTCAACCGAGTCTGTTGTGAGATAGTAACTCACTGATGACAATGGTGGACGGTGGCGCGATTTTGTGAACTGGTTGAAGTTAAACAGTAACACCGTCCGATGCCAGCTGACCCAGTGGTCTAAAAGTTAAGCGTTTGCGCGTGATACCAATACGTCATGGGTTCGAATCTCACGAGACGGGATCGTGGACACACACTGTTGAGGAGTCTCATTCTAGGACGAGACGGTTGTCCACTGCTTCCAAATATCCTATGGTCGGCCAACTTCAATTGACTCATGAATCCAACTATTAAAATCACTATCATATCCACAAAACCCCTCTCTCATGCTCACTCCATGTTTGACTATCCGCAGAGTTATGAGTGAATATTGGTTAAGAGTTCCAAACTACGACGAGTTAATTGTCTATTATCTCTTGATTTTCAATATATATTGAACTGTGGTAAATTCTCAATGTCCACCATGAAATTCAACAATCTTCACTAACCCATAAACTGATAGATTTTAGTCTGAGTTGTTTTCTAGTTTGCCGGATTTTTAGTCATGAAAATTGTGTGTTTATTATTATTTTTATTATAATTCTTATTGTTGTCATTGTTATTATCATTACAACTTAATGTTAAGATTTTAAACTGGAATGATAATTTTGACAATAATTTTAGAAAAGCTATTGTCTAATGTTATGTGAATGATTCTGTCTTTTACAAGTAGGATAAATGTAAGTTTTTCTGTCTAAACTAAACTACTCCATGTAGCATGGCTGAGAATCGATGCCAATGGCGTAGGTGTATACATTCTCTGTCTTCCCTTAAACTGTGAGATTGAAGTTGCCTTATGTCTTTCTTTCTACGAACTAGATCTTTCTTCCTGTATTATATTCTTGTATACAATCTTTCTTTTATATATTACTACCGTTGAATTAACTACTTCTGTGAATTTGTTATTCATCTTGTTGTGTTAATGAGGTGTAGCAACTTGGAGCTAAGATATTAACACAAGTGAACGAAAGTAATTGGAATGTCAAAGGTTATATATATATGCAAAAACAGGTCGAAGGTCATTTGGTGCTAGAAAAAAAAACATGAGTTTTGGGTGATGCAATAATCAAGTGAGTTTCAGAGACAGGTATGATAGATTGTGTGATCATCTTAGAGATAATGAAAGATTAATGCAAGATTCCTGGAATTAATAGACTGACAAGATGGATTACATAATAATTGGACAGGATTTGGACAGTTTACGTATCAGTGAAAGTTTGGTTATAATGTACATAAAATGAGAATTTAGTAAGGGAAGCCTACATGATAGAGTAAACATTAACTAAAGAAAACTAATGACGAAAAAAATGATCCAAACAATTCAAAAAGAGAAATAAACCTATTACTACCCTGGTAAACCAAGACATAACTAAAGTAACACTAACAATAATAGTTTTAATTAATCAGAAGTGATTGAAGAAAATTGAAGAGAAATTCACCAATAAGTAGATTTATATATTTATATTAAACCGTAAATCACAATTCACAATACAATAATAGTAATAATAATAGAATAAAAATTTCACTAATTTATGTTCTAAAAAACGTTACATAACGAATATTAAACAACTTCTTTGTTAACTGATTTTGGATTTGATGGAAAAAACAGAAACGATAAACTTATGTATCCTCATAAGGTAAATTATTGACAATGTAAGTATAATTGTCTACTATTATAAATAAGAAAATCTTATTATTAATATTGAATAGAACTGATCATATATACACTACTATAATGTTCTCGGTCCTTTAGTACAAAAAGTTACAATTAATAGTTTTATATATGACGGTTTGTATGTTCTTGTTATTAATGTTATGAACTGTAATTGATCTGTTTTTACTTTCATATATGTAGTCTGTGTGAATTCCCTTGATATTGAAATTTAATTATATTTTCACTAAATGATAACACCGAAGGAATTCCAACGGGATACATATATATGGAAATAAAGACTGATCAGTTGCAGTCTTCAACAATATCGACAAGTAAGTACAAACTATTGAAAGTAAAATTCATACACGTTGTACAGGTACAGCTAGACAAGTGGATGATGCATTAGCGTTTGATGCAAAAGTTACTAGGGGACAGTCTCTGTGCGAATATGAACACTCATATGTAGGGACATCCAGATGACTAGTCCCAAAGAGGACGAAATAAGAGTTCTAAAGTACATACCCAGTCACTTTCCAATCCCAATGGTTTTTAGACTTTAAACATTTTAATAATAGCACAAATTTGTATATCAGTGTTGATTAGGTTATAAAATTTCATATTACACTAAGTATATATAAATCACCGCTGATTTTGATCTGACTTCCATTGGATGTCATAGAATAATCAACTGCTTTTTCACCCTAGCTAAGAATGACTAAGTAGTGTTCAACTAAGACTTTTACAGATATGATACTCAGGACCTTCAGACCATTTAGCAAGAACTCTACCTTCATACTACTGAGGTGACGTTTAACTCAAATTGCGAAACCATATCATCAGGAATAGATTTTAATCTCAGTAGTCATGCTATTATAACATTATACAAACCATAAATGTTAAAACTATCCTTAGTAATAGGTAAAAGTACGGTTCAATTACTTTGAGTACAAATTAAACACGTGTAAGGGTATGATCCATTACAGCTACATTCTAAACTTTTGGTAACTAAGCCAGAAATTTATAGATAATTCATAATAAAATTAAATTTAAAACTAACATAATACACTAATAACAAATAAATTATTTACTTTTAAAAGTGCTTTTTCTGGTTGATCGTGTACAAGGTCAGTAGATTGACGTTTTTCCCGATGATATAAACATTCTTGTGTAATATGTAATGGATTTTCAATTTCGGCGAATGCTTTTTCAGCAATTCGTTTAGATTCATTTAATTTATTCATTTCATTAATAAGTGCATCAATTTCGTTATTTAATTCATGTTTCATATAATTGATATCATTAATTCTTTGACCTAATGTTAGAAAAAGAAAAGAAACATATTTGATAATATCATTGTATTAAAACCTTGACAGCAAACTCGGACACAAGGCCTCCTCCTGGCGCTGTTGGGGTGATAGAGGCAAATTTACTGACAAAACTGGACGGTCAGACTAATTCACCACTCAACTTGAGGCTCCAACCCCGATGCTCTAAAATCTTACGGGCCGCCTGATGTGTATGCTTGTACATATGAATTTCATGAGTCTCAACATGTGTAATTGTGTATATAGGTATACACAGAAGGTATGTGCCAGACTGGAATGTTAGCTGTATATCTAGTGAGATCAGAGGCCTAAACCAACAGGTCGAAGACAAAAAAAGAAATATTAGCAAATACTGAGAAAAGATGACCATCAGGCCTCTCTAAGACCACTCAAGATTATGTGTATGCCATGAAATGCATGACCAAAACTCCATGTACTAGTGGTATGCATCTAATTTGTAAGAGGTAGTCAGTTGCAGCAAATACATTTGAAGGGATTGGTGACCATCTGCCCTCTCAAGTGAGTAAATATGCCTATATCTATGCCATGGGATGAATGGGTGAAAACTAATGTATTACCGGTAGGCATGTAATGTATACTTGCTCTTGGTAAGACGTCCATGCGCCAAAACCCAAGAATACCGATTTCCCCAAGAACTAAAATCCACGCAGTAGGTTTGTGAGCCTTGAAACAAGAAAACCACTCAGGTTTTGTCCGATCGAGTTTGAACAACCCTCTTAATAGCTGGAATGCTACCATCACCGTTAATCCCTTCATAACAATGGCGTTAAATTGAAATGTTAGGCTCACTAAGATGCGTTGGCATTCAATGAATAAGTTTCAGAGAGAACAAGTTCGACAAGTAAAATAATGTTATGAACGTATCCGAAAAATTGCTTTATTTTTCATAATTATAGAAACAAGGGAAACTAATCACAATGCAACAATGAAATAAACTTGAGGGAAATTTCTGACTTTTTAGACAGAAACAGATGTAAGAGAAATATGCTTCTGATTTGTGTTCTTTTATTACGGTGTAGAAACAAATGCACGTTGATTTGTAGTGGGTCTGATATATTCCAACAAGTTTCAATTTATACCACACATACCTTCACAAGTTTGTTTTCATTTCCTAGTCTCTATCAAGGAAACATATTCTCCTGAATGTCAGTTTGACCGGTTCGTGTCACCGCTAATGAACGTTACAATGTCTTAATCTAACCACTATTCCGTTTCATTTAATTTGCTTTTTCATAGACTAACACCTTACAAACAGAATGAAAATTATATGACCGGCTATCAAAAACATATTATCTTAACATAACTAATGTAAATAATATGTGACATTTTAATGAAAGTATACAAGCCGATTGATTTCAAAGCATTTAGTCAATAATAAAAAGTCGTGATTACCATCAACAACTGGTCACTGTTGTCAAAAAATAGTTATGAAAAATAAGTGGATAAGTAAATGACAATGAACTTTTAAAAGAGACAGCCAGCCGATTAAAATTTCTGTGGGAACATCAATTACTCCCTGGTACTTGTTACGTGACAACAAAAATTGATATAAATTATTTTTTAGACACTTGATTTTAATAAAGAATAATTATACCGGCATTTATGCAGCTAGATAATTACGTCTTATTGATCAAATAAGTAAAACGTCACTCTTGCAAATGGTTAAACTAGAAAATGATGACTAAGACAAAGACGCCCATTACTCGCTATTAATGAATGTTCATGAGAACAAATTTTGTGAAACCCTTCGCTTGTGAACTACAGTTGATTCAATTAAGACACGTATGTTTAGTACAAGATGTTCTCAACTCAAGTTGATTTATTAAAACCGAATCACATCGCAAAATGATGATTACCAAGCTCAAAATAACCGGAATGATGTTGGCGATATCATCCATCCTTAGTGCTATCAAAACGCTAGTCACATTAAAAGACGTCAAGAGAAGCAATCAGTGAAATAAATTCTGAGCTTTCCTCGTAAAACATCACCTCTACCAGTTAAAAATGTCCAGTGACTCTATATCCTCTGCCTTAGTATTCCCCAAAAAGTTCAACTTGTCCGTTGGCAACACCACGGCAGTCATTCATATTTCCGTGAATATTGGTTTGGATCCAGTAATAATAATTTATTCAATGTCAAGATCTTAAAATAATAGCTTAATTGGTTTGGACATGGTTTTCACATAGGGATCCAGAAGTTGACATACTGAACAATCTGCAGAATCTAAGAGATTTTGTAGCCAAAGGCAAAGAGGTGCTCAGTTTAATAAAGCGATAATTTTACCATTTTATTTCGTATAGTGCGCTCTTTTGTAACTCCACCTGTAGCTCTTCTAGAGTTACTGCCGGTCCCAATCCCGGTTAAAGAATGAGAGTCGGTAACCCCGTACTGTAGAAAACGATCTCGCCGAAAAAACGCTGATTAGATTATGCACTATTTTGTTTCCCACCGTACCACTATATTTACGTGATAAATAAATACAGCAAAACGAGAGATAATATTTAAGACGAGACTAAAACTCCAACAAAGTTAAACAGACAAACAAATCGTACTAATTTATGTATTCCAACAGTAAATCACAACGTCCTTAAGGCATTGAAACTTTATATGTCATACAAATATTTAAACTAAGAACCTGACCAAATTAAAGCAATATTATATGGGGTTTTGTTTGACATTCATTTTTCAAGGCACTTCTTTGTAGTTTAAAAAAAGAAGCAACACTAACCAATGTGGACTTTTTTATGGTAGGAAAACTTAACGGAACGGTAGCCTGATAGATGCTTTATGAATCAAAGTCAATATTCAAAAACAAATCCATATTTCTGAGTCGACTGTGTACTTTATACCTCCATGAAATTCCCGACAAACGAGAAATACTATGAAAGAGTGTATGTTCATAAATGATAAACGAAAAAAATCGCATATAACCATACTGAAACTCACCAAGTAGTCTGCCAACTTCCTGTTGTGCTCGTTTAATTCTGTCATCTGCTTCAACTCCCAAACGTTCTCCATTTCCTCTTATATGTTCAGCTCTCTTCATTGCCTGCTCTGAGTTTGACAGCCGAGTAAAGTTACCCTTAGTCCAGTCGGCAGGCGTATATCTTGTGTATAAAGCGTTGCGTGCAGCTGAGTATATAGAAGGAATTCTTAAACCCTCCAGTTCATGTAAACCTAGCGAATCTCCAGTAACATTGACAATGGGACCCAGTGATTTTGCCGACTTGTCATCATTAAAATAAGATAATCGGTCCGGGGAAAAATGAGACTTGGGACGCCAGGGTGCAAATGATCTGATATTCCTGTGCGTATAAATAGCTGGATAACTGCCTTCTGTTATATCATCAAATCTTCCTGAAGATCCTGATCTTGCATATTGCAAAATATCTGGTAAATTTGATGCACTGTGACTCAGTCGTAGTGGTTTTTGAAAATAACGTTCTGTCATTAACTCCATTTGCAAATTATTTGCTAGTAGAATAAGGAACATGATTATTTGTTGTTAACTAAGAACTTCTAATCAATAGCATAGGAACACGAAATTTTAGCTCCGACATCAATGTCAACAAGACCGTACGACAATAATAATTAAATTCACAACTTAGAGTGAAATAAATGAATACTACTGTTTTTTTTTCTTTTTATGTTAAGAAAGTTAAAGGCGAGTAGAACGTACATTTGAGATAACCTATTTATTCCATTATCAAATTCAGTGAAACATACTATAAAAGTTTGTGATGAAAATAGGGATGATTTCCATGATAACGTTGTCAGTTGTTTTCATTTGACATGTAACAGAAACAACTCGAAAACAAAAGGTTAAGATAGCTTCCCAGATCAAACTCATGACACATAAAAGCTAAAGTTCAGAATACAAATCATTTCATGCAGTGGCCACCTTAAACACTGTTAACCCTAAACCTTCTCATTTCTACTTAACAAGAATATAATTCGATTATAAATAAGCTTCAGTAGCTACATGTATTCAACCAAGAGTCAGCTAAACGAAATCTCATCAAAATGACTAGATATCTAAATGTGCACACCTTAAGGTGGGGATTAGATATTTCGAAACCCGGCATTTCAACCTCATTCTTTTTAACGTCAGTTCCAGGACAGTGTATTGGTAAATTGCTGAACTAATATTCGATAGCCACCTGTAAACAAAGTCTTCAAACAACATTGCATATATGCATTTGAGTGATCATATATACATATATATTTATTTCTTCATGCTAAACGACGGATATAAAAGCTTCTTTCAATATCAGATAAGTAATCGCGCAACTTTGATAGCCAATTTATTTTTAATGCCTATTATTAATTGGGAGCTCGCAATTAATATTAGACTAGTCTTAATTATCTTGACCAACCAATCTTTGGGAGTTTAATGCCATTTAAAGCACTAAAAACTAGGCGCTTAATGGAGTATCAGTGAATAAAATACTAGGCTTCAGATGAACAACATTGCATAATTAAACCTACAGGAAACTTTTGAAAATGAGACTAAATATCCAGTCTGGTTTTACCGCTGTAGCAACGAGTACATATGACCTTCAGTAAGTATAACGTACGAGTTTCAATAAAAATAGACTATCATTCATTGCTTCAAACGTCCCAGTACCTCTTTAATACTTTTTTGTTAGCTCTGATTCGAAACGTGTCGACATTGAATATATTTTTAATCCCAATAGAATGAGTGTGACATTGCTCAAATCATTCGTATGTGATGTGTTTTATAACTTTGTAACATTCACACTGATTTTTAACTAATAATATGAACAGTGTCATTATACTTCAGCTTCATGAAGTTTCGATGACTTCGGGTGCTTTCTAAAATGCTGGGTTAGTCATTGTGGGAAATAAAATCAACATCTGATATGACGACGACTAATCATACCCCTGGTAAATAATTGCGTAACCACAACAAACGCTCCGTATTTGCTTATCTTACAGATTAAGCGAATATATCTAAGACAGGGTTAAAATTCCGATCATTTGTTTGGTAACTAGATAGAAAAAACTCAACTCAACACGCCATGTTATCAAACCGTTTTGCTAAAATTAATGCTCACCAGATAAAGTGGTGAATTTCTAAGACAGTTCTATAAGATCAGTGAAGTGAAATAAACCTTAATAAAATTTGTTTACCATTCTGAGCCTGGTACAGCCTCGAAAGTCCTTGAATTACTTATCATATTCCGTATAGGCCAAAGAAACCTAACGAATGACTGTAGCAGTCTAATCGCTCACTGTTTTCTATTATCTCACCATTTTCGCTTCCATATAGTACAAGTTCCGGTTATTCTTTTTTCAGTCTTCTAAGCACTAGGTCAGGAAGGTAAGGCTGGCAATTTATTAAGAAGTGTAGCTTTATTGTGACATTAAATAAGTTGGAAGTATGTACACTTCTGGACAAACTCAATAAGGTTAAAATTTTAATCAAACAACGTATATAGAATAATCGAAAAATGTAATTTAAATCATCAGTTCTTTCGAAGTCCTATCATTATCACACAAACAGCGTTGACTGCAGTGGATTCAAACCCAAATACCAGTTTACCAAGAAAAGCAGGCTGAAAATAAGGAAGGAGAAATTCACACGCAATTAAATGTGTACAGAGGTAACAAACTCGACGCTGACAATGTTAGCAACAATCTGATAGAGTTCAGTTTGAAGTAACGCTCACAGAAGTAATAACTTACGTTTTTGATATACACCTAATGTTCATTCATCACGTCATATGCATAAACCAGATTCTCAAATTCTCTCATATTTAAACCTAATAACATTTTCACTGCAATAATTTCTAAGCACTGAACTTGAGACTCTTTGAAACATGCTCATACTATTCGTTATACTTCCGTTTCTTCGACATCACAAATCATCAATCAACACAGCCTACCGTACGCCCTATTATACAAGGATAAATGAACTATGAAAGATCTATTACACCTGGCTTTCACAGTATTCACTGTTATTCATTGTATTATGTTTTTTGCAGGTAATTTCGTGCCACAAATTCAAGTTATATTTTATACAATTATTGAGTTGCTACTAACCACATGCTGACATTTTTACTTACATTCTCACAGGTATCCCTAAAGTGTCACTAAATGTACTCAAAGTATTTCTCTCTTCGTTGCATATTTACACACGTTCTCAGAATACCCCTTGAGCGTAGAAGTTAGTGTTCAGTCTGAAGATACGTTTAGTTCCAATTCGTGATATGTTTGTGACCTAAAGTTTCAAGTTGATCTGGAGCTTTCTACACAAATTGTTATCAATCAAAACTTTTATAATATACACAGATCTGTTCGTATTTTTACTTCTCTTACCCATTTCCTAAATGACCCTATTCTTATGTCAATGTTAGTCGCTAGCGGATACTCTTACCTTCTCACCCTGAAAATAGAAAAATGTTTAAGTTGAAGAGGTTTTGTGGAGTTTGGTCTAATTCATAGGTTATGTTTATCGCAGATTGATCTAATTTGAAGTACTGTCGAGAACTAGGAAGTACTTAGACCAATCCCTGACGAATACCACCTACTAATTAAGTCGGTCTTTACAAAACCCCTTCAACATATTCCATAAGTCCTTGTGATAAGTTAATGAAGTTCAATTAAATCGAGAGTGAAACAGCTATTATCAGTGACGTCGTATGATCGTCGACCTATGACGCATATTAATCGAAGTTGGAATTGTGGTCCTAGTAGTTAGGCGTTCGTCATGAATTGATTGAGATAGGAAATGTATATCATTAATTTCTAAGTCAATGATCCAAAAGTATCGCATACGCTTGAGAACCTGATAGCTTTGAGTCTTATCCGTCATGTGGCTGTACGTGCACACTGCTGAAGAGTTGCTTATTAGGACGGAATAACTGTCCAGTTTTCCTTGATTTTTATTGGTACCCCATCTGATAAATGCAACCTAAAAGAGAAATTTGGATATTGTATTGCAAGCTATGCTGCTCATCAACCTTAAAATACTTCCGACATCTTAGTTGGACCATAAGTATATCTTTTTCTATAGCGTAAGAAAAGACATGTGTAATTATTGTTAGGTATATTGTATTGAAGCATCGCTATGTAGTTTAATACAAATTTCGCTGAGAGGGTTGAATTTCACACTACTTGAAGTGACAATGAGCAATCGGATACTATTTCTCCTTTTTGAAATGTGATAATCATTTAATTGTATTGAAAATCATTATAGTAAATCTCGTCCTTGCGGTGTATAAACTATTTGTGATTCTAGTTATTCCCGTCGTTTACCCTCATCTAATCAAATCTGTACAGAGCTCTGGGTCGAGATCACATTTCGTCAAAACAGATTAGTGGAAACTACAATCCCGTGTTTTAATTGGATAGTTTGATTCCTGTAATCCCCGCCGGTTTCAAGTTAGCTGTCCACGCTAGACCATGGGAATACAACCGCCTGAAACAACGTAGCAGAAGTCTTCGCGCATCACTCAGCTGAAACTTCAGAGTCCAACAACATCACAACGCAACAGACAAACCAACCTTGCGAATGGACCAACACATCTAATCTCATCCTGTTTGATACAGTTCTCACAGTCAACCCTTCTCCTGAAGTTTCAGATTCCGTTCGCCGACTTTTCTCATCTGTATTGTTTAATTACCAAAGGTTATTTTCCTAGATGACCTGCTATGGATATGAATACAGCCTTCCGTGCTATCTTGTTTGGTTACTGTTAGACATAATTTTTTATCTTCAGTAGAGAACTACTCAGTATTAGCATGAAGATGACATCTGAGCGTTTATTCATTTGTTATTAAGACAATCGACTTTTAGGTTATTGGCAATATAATCTAGTAATCTTTTGGTCCAGTACTATTTTACTCCTTAAAATTGGTTAATACAGGAATTGTATTCTTTCTTTTAGAAATATTGTAACTATATTATACAATGACCTTTTAATGATCATTTTTACTCTTTGCCTGGTATACAATGTTATCCACACCTAGTAGTCTTTGTTTTATTTTAGAGTTTCACAATATGGAATTAAGCCATCGTGTCCCGTTTTTACCCAAGGTCAGTTATTTAATATTTTATACGCTTAAATCTATGTATATAAGTAAAGTTTATATTTCGCTCTATTCTACATAGTCACCTCCAATTTCTTCATAAAATTAGTAACAATATTTGCATGTTTATTTGGTTTTTTGTACGAAATTTTAGGTTTCTGAAGTTTATAGTCGAAATACAAATGGTGATAAGTCATTCTTGAAACGCAATATTGTAAATGGGCAGTCAAAACTTCAATGGATTTTACTATCCATTATTGTAGTTGCTTTCTCAACATTACTACTAATTAGCGTGTATTATTTCTTTTTCCGTTCATTTTCTTTTGGGAACATGAGTTTGGACATTGATATGTTGGAGGTGAAAAAATGTCCTGGATGTGCTGGACAGTCTATTTGTCCACATTTTTATCGTGGAGAAATTCGATTCACTAGTAGTCAAACTAATATTTTTCAATCTACCAAAGATGGGTTATCCTTTCCTGTTGTTGGATACAAAGCTACTATGGGTAAGTTTGTTTTGAGTTTGAATTATCTCATCATTGATCTCCTTGGCTGAATTAGTTCGCATATATGGGCATCTGGTAGGGATTGCTTTGATATAGAAGAGATGGATTGTGCCTAACTATGGAATCTAGGTTGCTCGTTTTGTTCTATTTAGGATTCATCAGCTGGATGTTTCTGAATAAATTAAACTTTCAAATTACAGAAACAGTTCTTTGAAACTCACCTCAAGAATTCCAAGATTATATATGAGAATATTGTCGTTTTCAATCAGATCCTCATCAGGCTTTGTTCTAATATACGCTAATAATATTTATATGCAGATATAAAAATATTATACCAATCAAGGCAGTTTATGAGTCAGTGATAACAATAGGATAGGTTATAAAAAAACTTAATGCGTAAAATGTACAAATTAGTAGTATGACGACGGGTGTACTAGTTGTGATAAGAATAATAAAGGCTTGGATCAGTGTTTCGTAATAGAGGTCAACAACTTAGAAAAATAAACAATGAAATAACACATTCAGAATAATTAGACAATGAAGCGTATATTTGTAGAAAGAGGTAACGAAAAATAAACAAGCGAAGGTTATCGAAAATAATAATTATAAGTAAAATTGTTTGTCAAACTTAATTTGGCCGATGCAAAATGACGAGTGTTTCAAATTTCTTATGAATTCAAAGACTTGGATTGTTAGCTCAGGTCCTTAAAGCTCCACGATCGAACCCTCCATATTCGGTATTCATGATATAAGATGCCAACTGTTGCACTACGCCACCTTTTATCAGTATCAGTGAATTTTAAATTTAGTGTATATTGATTAGTATCCTATCTGATTTCTGTAGTTTCAAGCTGCTGAAATAATCCTCAGCATCAAACAATCGATGTAAGCATTATACTACAGAAACAGTGTGGATCTTTTAGTCTCGGTTTTTGTAGGATTTACTTGGAATCAGAAA